TTTGTAACAAAAGTTACGGTAAACGAACCTTACCTTAGTACTTAATTTAAAAAATTTAAAACTTCAAGAAACTAGGTTGATAATACCCACCCCCCCCCCCAACAACAGAAAATAGTTATTCACCTCAATACATGTTTGTACAAATAATCAATATGGGCTAGCATGGACAACGACAGATGCTTGGTACAATATATAGAGAGAAAAATTTAAGTATTTAATAAGATTTTCCTCCATCTACTTGTGGTATTTATAGATGAGACCGAGTTCCCGACAAGTATCAGATAGAGTATTTCACAGTAACAGCAAAGTCCACCCAGAAAACTTAGGAGAATCATGTTATAAAGATATGAGGGCTGAGTGTTTCATTTAGTGTATAAATAACTAAGCTGAACAAACCAGCAAAATCTTTATTTAAATAATAAAACAAAACTAGCACTAGCATCCACAACAGGAAAGTCAACAATCCTTCCTCTCTTTAGTTCATTTTCATTCTTGATGCTTTCTTTCTCGAGATCAAATGGTCCAACACTAAACATTCACATCTTCTTGAACAGAGCAGGTCCTTCCTGTTGGTCATCTAATGAAGAACTGAATTAAGAAAGTGATCACAGATCCAGAATGTTAACTCGCTTTCATTGTCCAGTGGATGGCATCATCTCATGAACTATGCTCCCGACAGCACTGGTCAGTTGTCGTCTTCAGTCAACATTACAGTTAGCCAACCAAGGATATTTCAGTGCTAACCCATTGAACTTGGATTCTACATACAATATTGAAATATCCCTGGAGGCAGAGGAAACATCAAGTACCAAAGATAACAGCGAGTGAAGCAACTAAGACAAAACAATGTTAGCAACTCTCTGTACCATGTGCTGCTACTATGACAGTGTGGGAACTAAATAATCAATAATTTGGAAGATTTCTATATTACTATTGAAAGTAGAAACCCATGATATACCCACATATCAGAATAATTACTCTAAAATTTGAAAAGTCAAAACTATTTAAGATGTGTTCTAGTGAATACTAATGTCTGATCTATTTTAATAACTCATTTTGTGTACATAATTACTCTCGGTGAAACTTGATATTAGTATTATAGATAAAATCAATAATTGTAATCTAGCTTAGAAGACTGTTTATATCCATTAACAATTATTAATGAAAATAATGAGTAAATACTTTAATTTCTTTATGCTCATATACGTACATCATATAATTCAAAATAAAAATCAATAACAATGAAAAATTCAATACAACTGTTTTTCACTGATCATTTATTTAGTATTTCCCCTTTCAAGATGGCACAATTTAGTTAAAATTACCATATACTAGTTTCATTGATGTTTCTACTTATATATGAGAATTGTATATTTTAACATTTCCCACAGGAAAGTAGACATAGCTACCAAAAAAAAGAAAAGAAAACAAACTCAAACCAATAATACAAAAATTCAAGAATTATGAAACAAAACCATCATACAACCACTGTAAATGTACATAAATGTTTCCAGAAAATTATTGTTACTAAGTAACTGTACCATACATATCAGAAATACATCTGTATTAAAGCCTCATTACTGTTCTTATAAAACTAATTCTTCAATAATGATCTTAAAATTTTACTTAAGATAAAATACACAAAAGTGTTGCTTCATCAATAATTACATTTTTTAATTTACATAAAATTTAAAATGTATTAATTTTTTCCAGGAAAATTTGCTACGCATGTAACTACTGTGAGCAAAGCTTACAGCTCAGAAAATATTAATCACATAAAAAACATGGCTAAATTACCAATAATAATGAGTAGATCTAGTGTTTTTATTTTCTTCAATACCATTGAAATGTCAGTTTTTACACACAGGAAAAGCTAATTATCTTTTAGTTGGAGTAGCATCTCGACTTAATGACTTCTGTCGTACAACTGGCCTACTATAGGGGGAGGAGGGCTGGGAGACAGAGGATCCATGAGATATGGCATGCTGGGATGATGATAAAGACATGGATGAAGCTCTTGACCTGTGTTGAGTACTTACAGGTTTCTGAGAGAGATTACACGTAGAAGATCTGAGATCAGCAGTGGCAGAAGCAGAATAGCTTAGCCCAGTAGGAAGGTTGGGAACAACTGATGTAGCATGGTCAAAAGAGCCTGAGAACCGGTGAAATTTGGCTAATGTCTTTTTTTCTGAACGAACAGATTCCTGATAGCTCAGCTGTTGCTTCATGAACACAGAGTTTCTTAAAAGATCATAAATGTTCTGGAAATGACGCAAACTCCCATGCATGGATTTAACAGCACTGTAAATGATAAAACAAAACTATGCATATTGGCATATCAAATACTCGTGAAAAAGTTATAGAAGCCAATTAAATAAACTTTTTGTGAAATTCTTTTCATTATCAAAACAAGAATTTCACTGATGAAAAGATGAGGAAGGCCTAATCTATCCTTTGATTCACTATTTCTGCTACAGCAGACTAGTTTCACTGAATTCACAGCTCATCAGTGTTGCTTAATGTATGGAATACGATAAAAAATATTGAAAACACTATTTACATTCTTGAACTATCTTCTGAAGAGGAAATCCATCATTAATATGTTGAACATGTCAGTAATTAGTAATTTTGAAAATGAAAAAAATACCTTCTTATAATTTCACCAGTTTCTAGAGAGATCTCCTCCATAACTTTCATATCGAACCAAACTTTCTAAAACAATTGTTTACATGAAAACTTTTTTTTATAAACATAACTTAACGTGTCTCAAATAGCATTAAGGCTTCATGATTCATCTCCTCCTCTTCAAGCTGAAAAAGTGCTTTTTAAATACAAAAAATACTATAACTAATATATTTTATATTCCTCATAAATGTATTTAATATAATTATTTTATTTATAACTGCATTTTCTACTTTATGATACCTTATGTATAGTTACATTAAAAATACTAAAATTCACAGATTCAAGCAGGATATGACTTCAATTTACATTAACAACAAACTGGTTTTTTACATATTATCCGCAAAATATGGGACACAAACATAAAAATTACATTTACCTTAAAGAATAATCCAAATCATAGCATTTCCCTTGTAGGTCTTCATGTACCTGATTAACTTCTAGCTGCAAAAGAGATATTATAAAAAGAACAACATAAAGACTGGATACTTAGTGATGAGAAAGGAAATGATGTCAGCAGTACATATATTGGAAAAAAAAACTAATTTACACCTTACCTGCATAAATTTTATGAAAACTAATTTGAAAAAATGATGCAAAAGTGTTCCATCAGAATGCTGTTGGATTTTACATCTGTACATCATTAAGATTCAAACCCTTAATCTTCAATTGGAATACAAAAGACAATATTTTTCATTAATACTTTGGAAAATCTTACTATATAAAATCCTTACACTTCTTTTGGCTGACCCTGTATAAGTGATTAGGTATATACAAAAATTATCTTTAATTCTTTTTCTAAGCCCAAACTTTCATGCTTAAAGTCATCATACAGTACTAAAAGACATAAGCTTACCCTTTTTTCTACCAGCTGAGGTAAGGACTTGTGAATGTGTTCTTGAAGTCGGTAACAGGCAAGGGATGGTTCATTAGCAACAATATAAAGATTTTCAGAAATCCTCTCACAAGCTGTAATAGGATGTGTAACAAAAGATCTCAAAAACACTAAGAAATGGTTTAACTTTTTTTTTACTTCAAACATGGTTACCCAAGACAAAAATTTACATAAACATTCCCTCTTATTTTTCTTCTAGAAGTCCTTCAGTGAAATTTGTACATGTTATAGATTTTTAAGTACATTTTTCAGTTAATACTAGTGAATGTTTTCATGCTATTCCTAGTCACATTATTCCATAACATCACAAAAATACATTATGAATCATTACCAGTTCTTTGTAATTGATGTTGAAATTAATGTGAAAGAGCTTCCTCGTCATCTTGAAAACTGTACTCACTTTTATATGTTTTCAAGTCCTGGCAAATTATTCACCAAATATTGCATATCAGTGAGTAAAATTATTGTTCAGATATATATTCATTTAAAGAACAAAATCACTTCATTTGAAAGAGTGTTTAAGTTCTGTTTATTCTATGCATCTAGTTCAACTTGACACAATCTCAATGCTGTTTTTATTTCTATTTTACAAAATCAAATATTAAAAATCTCATCAAATCATGTCAAAGCACAAAATACTCACTATCCATATCACTATATTAATTATAACTAGTTACTGCCAGTAACTCATCCTTCAGTTATTATACTATATTCAACATAAACTCAGCAGTACGATTTGTCTCAATAATTACACAAATGGCTATGCAAATGCTGCGTTTAAAAAATTTTTCAAAGTTTAGGATTTTAATGAATAGTCAACATGGTTTCACTCATCTAGCCTTACAAAACTTTTGACATTTTTTAAAAAGGTCACTTCTTATTTAGATGAGGGTAAAGGTGTAGATTTGGTGCATCTGGATTTTCAGAAGGTATTTGACAATGTGTCACATAAAAGGCTTGTAAAAACATTATCTCTATAGGTGTGTAGGGGATAAGTTAGCTAATTGGATAGAAGGATGGAAGCAGAGGGTTGTTATAAATGGAGTTCAGTTAAACTGGATTAATGTCATATGTGAGGTAACTAAGGGCTCAGTCGTAGGACCTTTGCTCTTTTTGATTTGCATCAATGACATAGATGGAGTATTGGTCAATAAATTACTTAAATTTGCTGATGATATTAAGGTCTTGGGGATTGCTTGCTGTGAAGAGGATGCTGTTGCTTTACAAAAGGACTTAGATCATTTAGTGAATTGGGCAAATAAATGGCAGATGGGTTTTAATTATAATAAATGCAAG